TATTTTTCTTTAAAAATGAATTTAAAATATAGTATCCCTTTTGACTACCTTGTAAATAATAGGATATGCCACACTTTTAATATTTATGTTTATAGAGGAACAATCAAGACTTCAACCACTGTGAATTATGTATATACCTTCCTTGATTACGACCTACATGGAAGACCAACCCGTGTTAGCGAGTAACGAGTGTTGAAGTTAAGGTTGATTCTGGAGATCTTGGAGGGGATGAGGGTCTGATTCCAGATGAGCTGGTTGAGATAGAGGGCTAACACAATGATGATGACTAGGACTAAGTCCTCAGTGTTTTGGGTATAGATAGAGACTACTCTTAGGACTTAGTCTTTTGATATTGTAATTATGTAATCTAAGTCCCAATCTAATTTGATAATATTTGTAAATATTAAACTTGTGTTTGTAATGAAAATTCAACTATGTACATTACTCCTTTACTAATTATTGTGTAAATGTAATTATTAAGAGTATAATTTACATTCTGTTATTTCTAATATCTTTGCAAAATTTCATGAATAAACTTATCAACAAGAAAGTTTTAATTTTATCATATTTTCATATCATACCACATATTTTACAATAAATTCATTTTTTATTTCCTTTATATCATCATAAATCATATATTTTTAAATAAGAGATTAAGAATGTCACACAAACAATAAGAAAATAACCAAGTTTGCATCTTGTCAAGATGGGAGAAAAAAGAAAAATATGATTTTGGGTATTTGATTATGGAAAATTATAATTGTTAAGATTCCAAAATTAGCTAGGAATAGAGTTAGAATAATCTTTATAAGAGCTTGAATAATCCTCATCTTATAGTTATATTTTAAGAGTGAGTTGGGCCAAATTTCTTAACATGGTATTAGATCCTATCTAGTCTTGTTAGGCCACCACAGATGTCTAGTCCTATAAATTTCACACATCATGTTATATTTGTCATTTGTTTGGTGGATTCAAATGAAAAATTGAGATTCAAATAAAAAGTAACTTAAAGATGTTAAGAAAAGGTAAATATTCTTAATTTTTCTTCAATTAAGATTTATTAATCTTTGTCTAATGTCTTTGATATAAAGAAATGCCTAATGGTCTTGTAGGTGACCTTTGCATTTATTTGTAGTTATGAACCTATATGAAAAATTATAGATGAAAGGTGGGATAACAAACTCCATAGACTTCTACATACTACATATTACCTTAATCTCAATGTTCATTATGATCCTGAGTTTAGAAATGGTGATTTTGAGGTTAAACAAGACTTATATAATTGTTTGGCAAGGATAGTAAATGAACTAATTGTGAGGAATAAGATTCATAATCAATTTCTTAAATTTTATTATGTTCAAGCTTATTTTGGTCTTAATGATATAAAGTCGAATAGAAAGATGGTGCTTTTTGGAATATGGTAGGACTTCTACGAGGATGGATGTCTAGAGCTAAAAGGGTTTGCAATTTGTGTTCTTTATCTTAACTTGTAACTCTTCTAGATGTAAGCAAAATTAGAGTTCATTTGAAATAGTAAATGAAATTCTGATTTTCTTGGGTATAATTTCTAACTCTTTTTTTTTGTTTTTGTTTTTTAGAATATTGACTAATAAGTTGATTTTGGATATTATGCTATTTATTTCTAGGTTCATACAAAGAGAAGAGATTGATTGCATAAAACAAGATGAATGACTTGATTTATGTGCTGTACAACACAAAGTTAAGTACTAAACAAATAAAAAGAAATATTATCCTTCCTTTTGATGATATTCAATATGATGGACGATAAATGAATAACAAGTAGAAGACATTGTTGAACTTGAATAACAATTTTTAGAAGATAAAGGTAGCAATGTTGAAGAAGTTGAAAATTCAAGCAATCCAACTTTAGATGGTATAGAAGACTTGGTCCTTGATCCAAATATTGAGGAACCTCTTTCATTAGAGTAAGAAGAAAATTATGATGATGATAGTGGTATGATGTTGGTGGGGATGAAGATGTTGAAGGGCCAAAGATTTGAAGATCATGACTTGTTTGCTCTTTAGTTATCCGCCCCATAAATTTGTGTACTATGACCTTAAGATTTGAACATTTAGTCTTAGATGTGGGATTTTAACTTGTTTTATAACTTTGACATTGTATGGTTTTACAATTTGAATTTGTTTTTTATTTTCTTAATATTTTTTTCATGAAGTAAACTCTTATGAGTCAAGTTTACAAGCACTCCATGAGTTTACTTAAACTCTCAAGTTTAAGAACTTTGCTAGAGGCCCTAATTACTTGGTGTGGTATAGTTAAATCATGGAAACAGGTTAGGAATGAAGTTTCTTGAAATATTAGGAATGAAAAAATAGTTAATTTTTTGTATTGATATTTGGATCCCTAAGATAAATGGATTAATTGACTATTCTTCCGACTTTCTTACTTGGGGTTAGAATTATCTGAGAGTCTTTTATAAAGAATGAAAGTTACGATTGGGTAAGTTTAAGAACTCTTTTCCCCCTTTACATATCTTAGAATATTGATCCTATTATTTCTCATAGGTTTGATGAAGAGGATTCAATTACACGAAGATGGAACCAATATGGTTTGTTCTTCTTAAAACCAGCTTATGAACTTACATCTAATTTTTTCTTTGAAAATATTTTGACCATTTTTAAGAATTTTGTAAAATGGATAGTTCCCCCCAAATATTAAGGTTTTTATTTAGAGAGTTGCCCATGATTCTTTACTAACTAATTCTGGAAAAGAATAAGAAATATATCTGGTTATGATTCCTATCCTTATTGTAATGTTGTCTCCAAATCTATAATTCATGTTTTAAGGAAAGGGACTAGATTCATGTTCAAGATATTTGGCTTCCTTTAATTGATAAGAAGCATTAGCTGAAATTTTCAAGCAATGGTTTAAGCAATTAGCTTAATATAAATTTATCTGGTCAGTTAATTGTGACTTGAGTATTTTCTATGGTATTGCTATTTGGTTTCTTTGGAAGGATTACGATAGCCTTGTTTTAAATGGTTTTTCTAACATTCATGATAATCTTCTGTAGCATATTCAAAACTATAGTAGAATTGCTAAAGATACTTTGAAATCCATCTGATTTAGTTAAACTTAACATTGATGGTTCTATTCTTGTAGGATACGGAAATTCATTTCATGGGGCCTTATCAGAAACTCAAAGGGAGAATTTATTAAAGGCATTGCATGCAATTCGGGTAGTTGTTCTTCGCTTAAGGTTGAATCATAGGATCTTCTTCATGGGATTAGAGTGTTGATTAATCTTTAAGTGGAGAAAGTAGTTGTTGAGATGGATTATCAATCTATAGTGGCTATGGTTAACATCTGTCTACCTCTAAATCATCACTACTACTCTTTGATCATCAACATTAGAAGATTGTTGAACCAATAATGAATTTTATTTATTTTATAGGTTATTGATGAAAGGTAGTAAAAAACTAAGTCGTAAACACAACCCACAATGAAGCAGACAAAATGTTACTTTGATTAGTGTCTTTGAAGAAGCCAACAAAGTAGCAGATTTATTGGCTAATTTAGGTCACCTTGCTTATCTTTGAATTAAAGGAAGATATTTACGGGGTTTAATTATAGTATTTTTCTAAAAAGAATTAAAAATTATTATAGAATATTAAAATTTAATGAAAGAACTTCAATCTTAGTCGTAAGGAATAAATAATAAATATATTAATTTAAAAGTATCAAATTAATACAAAATTAAATAAAAAAAAATTACACTTCTTATATCTCCGAATGTCGCCTTATTTTTCGGTAGATATCAATTTAATACTTTGACTTTATATTTTAAAAAAAATTAATAATTTAATATACACATAATATACCTCATAAATTCCATTCAAGTGAGAGGAAGTTTTCTTTTTCTAAATTTTGTTTGACGACACTAACAAGATCACTTCCAACAAATCCTCAATTGTCTTTCTCCAAAACATAGGTTGAGAGAACTGTAATTTCAAAATATTTATTGTAACTGTTTTAAAATAATTTTTGTATAAAATACTTTTTATTTGTTAATTAAACTAATAATAATAATATTTAAATAAATAGTAATAAATAATAGTAATAACAATAAACACATAAAAGTCACATTAAACACTTGTCAATTTTTTCTCTCCATAATATATTGTACAAGAGGTTAAAGCATAATTATAATGAATAAGGATCAAACATAATTATAATATTTCACAAAATGCTTCCAGAAAACAATTGACAATAATATTAATCTCTGATTCAGACCAAAAAACATAATTATAATCCCAATTGCAGAAGCTACAACGTGTTAGTCTAAGGTAAAATAAGGATCAAACATAATTATAATATTTCGGCTGATGCTTCCAGAAAAAAATAACAATAATATTAATCTCTGATTCAGACCAAAAATCATAGTTATAATCCCAATTGCAGAAGCTACAACGTGTTGGTCTATGGCTATGTCCAGCATCGACTGTATTCATTCTGATTTTACTAATCCGATGTCTTTAGAGTTGATATTTTCATTGTTTAATCTTTATTCTCATGTTATTTAGTATTCACTAATGGCCTCGTAAAATGTTATTTACTAGTGACCTATTATTTTCTAATTAGATTCTTAAACTTATAAATCATTTTTAATTAATTTCCTAACCAAAGTTTTGTTAAAATTCCATTGTGATTTTGTTAAATACAAAATCCTAATTTAAATAATTCAAAGACTTGCTAAATCATTAAACTTGTGACTTAGTGTCTGAATAATTAAAAAAAAATTAAAGTTTATATATATAACAAAATCTTAACAGAAATTTAGTTCAAAACCCAATTAAAAATAATTTAAAAGCACAAGAACCTAGCTATAAACTTTCAAAAATATAAAAACCAATTTAAACATTTTCAAATAGTTTAGGGACCTACAAACTAATCTAACCTTATTTAAACATCATAAATGTGGACAATGTGAAAGGTGAAAAACAGTTTACTTAATTGGTCGAGAAAAATTCATTTAGACATTCCCTAAAAGTGGAAATGAAGCGAAGCATCTTAACTTCCACTGAGTGGAAGAAGAATATAGCATTGCATTAGTTTGATAGACTAATAATGAGTTCAACAGCTGATAGTTGACACATCTGACAATGGATGTACTCCTTATTGGGTTAAGATGTAGTAGCAACTTAAATATCTTAAGGATAATCAATGCTATCAACTTCTGACATTACATTGCATTTTTCTACAATAAAAATTGAATCTAACATGTAGAGTTGAAGTGTTAGGACTAGAGGTTTTTCATCTTCATTCTTGGTTCATGAACCATAATTTTCAAGAAACTGATGCTTCGTGCTCAGCATCTTCACTCAGTACTTGCTTACTCTCCCAATCATCTTTGTGCAGTGGCATGTTATGACTATTATGTGGTCCAGGACTAAGCCTTCTCTTGTGTTCTACAAAATTTTGTATGCAATTGTTAAAATTTAAGGAAAAAGAAACCTAGGAAAACATAGGAAATGGTTCACTAAGAGCATTACTTTTACGTGTGATCGCTTGCCGAGTCATGGCCAAGAATTCATCCCATTTGAATTTACTCAGTTCCCGCTTCTCTTCCTCGGGAAGCTCAAAATTGGGTTCTCTCCCACACATGAAAGCAGCCCTAAAGATTAACAAATATACAATTCATTGTTAAGTAGGTCATTGTTAACACAATAGAGTAAATGAGAACTTGACCATTTTATATTTTCTTCGAGCATTAACATATTTCTATACTAGCTAGCTTGCATAATGGATGTTGCTAGAGAATAGAAAAGTCAATGTAAACTTGACAACATACATAGATCATATTCAAAGCAGCTAGATGATCTTTCATGATAGTAATAATATACATGCGTGTGTAGAAATGTAAATGCATTCGCCATGCAATGCTATTCATATCCGCCCATGCACATTCAAGTGATTGACAAAAAGATAGAAAACTGTGTACCACGTACATATAATCAAAATAATATATGTAGTAGTTCCCTACTTTCCAAGAAATAGAATTAAAGATTTCTTCAAATTGTTCAACATGAAACACTGAAGAATGTTCATCCGGAGGAAGTGTTCTTACCTCGAACCAAACACACTGAAGGAAAACAGATAACCAAGAAAGTAGATTCTCAAGATTCAAAGTAGGTATTTTAAGGGTACAGAATTCAATTCAGTGAAATTGTAGTAACTATAGCTCCAAAAAATATGATTATGAAGGGAGAAAATGATTATATGCTTGGATATGGAAGAAAGAAGAAACAAACAAGCCCAAACTGTGCGAAGTATAAGGTTGTAGGCACTCAAACAATGACAATAGAACCAGGTATATTGGCAACTTATCAATCACAGCTGATAGGCCTGTATATTCTCACTATGACTTTGAGGTATCAAAAGGGACTACTGTTGGTTCTTATATTCTATAATTCAAAGCACTACCTGTCATACAGGTGAGCAGCTTCTTCTTGTGACCCAACAGTCCCTAGGTGGATCTGTTTCTTGTCCACTTTTATTGCTGCCTGCCACTTCATATTTTTAAAGTAGACACCTCTCATTACGCAAGACTCTTGATTGTGCAAATTCTTTCTTCTATGTCGCTTTCTGCGTTTAATAGGAGGTCCTGCTAAATGCAGGGAAAAAGAGGTAAACAGACAATAAAGACACAAGTAAAAAGGCAACAGAAAATGTAATGTATCCTATAACAAAAATGAGAAAAGTATAATACAAGAGTTATTTGGTTGAGAAAATGTTTTCTATCTTCATTTGTAGTTTTCATTAATAGTTACAAAAATGTTACCTTGTTTTTACTTTATTAACTGTTTTCAAACATTTGTCCAAGAAATGGTGAAATAGCATTTTGTTATCTTCATTATTTCCATAGACGTCTTTGAAATCAAGAAGCAAAGTGAAAAAATGTGACACTTTTGTAATTATTATTTAAAACAAGAAATGAAAAACAGAAAAGATTATATTCTCTCAAACTAAACAAGCCCTAAATGAGTGTTCATTGAAATTAAATATGCTTGTGATCAAACTAAATTTCCACCATGAACCTTCTTGATGTTCAGTTTCTTTCTAGGAATTTTTCCATTATCTCCAGCATGATAGCAAGGATCATGCCCTCCATGTAAAATAGACAGGGAACACAAAGTCCAGGGTCACATGCCAGCAGGTCATAACCAGTACTGCTTTAGTTAGTCATGCATACTGAATATGCAGTACAGGATGTACATTAGAGAGGATTACTCATGCTTTGTTGTTGATTATCATTATTAGGACTTGCGTAAAATGGCAGTCTTCATTTCATATTCCAGAAACAAGGACACTTAACCCAACCCAAACCATCAAGGTACACCACCTTAATGTTCCTATGTTGGAAGATAATGGGAGGTGCGCTCTTGTGCGCCCCGTCTAGGGCCAATCTCTTCCCAAAGGTGTTTGAGACTTGATTCATGACTATGTGCCATAGAACAAGTGATTCCCTTTAAGATAAATGGAAATTAGGGAGAAATCACTTTGAAGCTTAGCTAAAAAAGTATAAATATAGCAACAAAAGGAAAGACCTTCCCCAGAGAGGTTACCCCTAAAACGAAAAGAAAGGAAATTAACAAAGGTCAAAATCATCAAGAGTAGAAAACAATACATTAATACTTAACCTGTAATCTTACAATTTAAGCTTTTATATAGGCCTCATTTGGATAAACTTTCAGTAAATACTTATAGGATATAAAATAAGGAAGTGAAATGAGTTAAATCCCTCTCATTAGATAAAATCAACTTATGTTTCTCCACCTTGTTAAAAGTTCTCTCATTTATCTTCTCTAAAATTTAAGATATATAAGTTATTTTTAACTTATGAAAGAAGTTTTATTCATTTTACTTTTTCATTTCTTTACCTATAAATACTTATTGAAAAGTTTATTGAAACTAGGTCATGATGAAATTTGTAGCTAAGGCCAGTTGAGGTTAAACTCTTGGTGTTGCCCATAAAAACAATGCCCAAGGCCATCACTCACTGTTTAAAAAGTGTATACAATCAGCTCAGCTCAAGCAAAGGAGTTAAAGGAACAAACTAAAGACAAGAACTTTGAAGTAGTTTTAGTCACTTTAAAGGAAATGAGTTACAACAGTTACAAAGGAAAGGAAATGTAATACAAAAAAAGTATAGAGAAAGATCCTAACAAGTAGCACTTGGCTTGGGGTTTGGATCCGACACCTTAATAGACTTATCTCAAGCTAGTTGCTTAAATGGTTGAGCATAACTACACAGATATTTGCATCCATCACAGATATCACCGGGGAGATGCCTATTGTGATGAGTCGGGTTGAGAACTTGGAGTTGGACAACAGAATTTTTAAAAGATTGTCCAATCACCTATCTCATGTCATCGTCACAGGCATCTTCAATATTATTGATTCTAGCTTCTAAGTATGCCCTCACTTTTTCTTTTCCTTAGCCTTGGCTTTGACCTATCTATTTTCCTCCTCCAACTTAGCAATCCAAAGTTTCCCTGCTTAAATTTTCTTGCAAGGATCCTGGCAATGAACTTTCTCTGCAGTGAGTTTGGCATCAACCTCAATCCTGGCCTTAATTTGAGCAAGAGAAGGGATGAAGCGTTCCACTGCTACTATATTTGGTCATCTATCTAAGCGAGCTAGTTGGATTCAGCCAATTTTTCTTTGGTACTCTCCGACTAAACAAATTCCTTGAGTGCCTCTCTTATAGAGGAGGTGTACAGTAAAATATCTCAGTATCAAGTCATGTGAAAAATAAAGAGGTATAACCCCATTTTCCTCCTCTACGCTTCCTTCACAAAACCTTCCTCCCCACAAGTCTTACTCATAAAAGGGGAATTAAGTCTTTCCTCATTCTTGAGAAGGAAAGCGAAAACAAATGCACAAAATCCCCAAGGAAAAGTCTAGGTTTTTAACTTGATTTATAGAAGTTGAAAAGCAATGAACCACAATTCATCAATGTTGTTGCAGAGAACTAGGAAGCAAAAAGGCAAAGTCAAAGATTTTGAAATAGAAGAGTGACTAAAAAAGATAGTTAACAACCAAAGCCCACTTTTATACAGAAAAACTAGGGCACTAATGTCTTTTGTCATCAAAACACATAAATCATAATAGTAAATGAGTAATGACGACGTGTATAGCTCAAAAAATATGGGCTATTAACACCATGCCACGCATCCGACTACCATCACCAGAAGAGCAGAAAAGACTTTTGCATGCCCAAAACTACAATGTACAAATAATGTGTCATCCAAGGCCATAAACTTTTTAAGTTCTCAAGACATCAGAGGAAGCACATCATAAGCCTAGGATTGAAGAGTATATTACAATATCCACAAATGCCTCACAAACATTCTAATCCTTGACTGCAGAAGAAAATAGCAACTTTGGAACATAACACTCAGACGAGGTTAATCGCAAAAAGCACTTAACTTAGCACATTGGTTCACTAATGCACGTGTTGAGGCCTGAGGGACTCCTAATTTAAGACAATCCAATTAGGTTCAACATCCTATCTCCATCTTTCTAGGGTAATCATCCCTTCCTCCAAATTGGGCCAAATGCATGTTTAATAGGCATACATGTCCGTGCATTTAGCACTTCATACACACTCAACACAAGAGAATTGCCACAGGTCACATTTATGATCTCAGAAAAATTAGAATCTTCCCCAGTTATGCTACACTAGCATATAACACAACACTACTCCAGTACCATGCTTGTGCATTACCCACTTTCAAGCACTATATAACCAACAACATGCAATTTGACAGATTTAATTGATTCCTACTGTCACTCTGCTGGAATAAACATTAACTTGAGTGTCAGAATGTCTTTATAAGTACATCACCCTTACCACCATCAACCTAGCATTCAAGCTCTACAGTAGTCATTCTCTGAACTTCAATAGGTCTATCCTCTTTGGGCTCATAAAAAAAACACTAGATCATATGGTATACCAAATCAACACATTTCATTTAAGTTAATATACTCATTATAATTAATGAAATGATTATGAAATAGATCAATGAAGCAATTGTTAATGAACAATTAAATATGATTTAATAAGTATATTCAGATATTTAGTTAGAATATAGGAAAACATTCAAACATTTCTACGAATAACATCCAATTAGGTAAGCATTGCTTCAAGATATATAATCAGATTAGCGACTGGACCAAATATACCAAATAAGAAAAAAAGAACATATATGATATACGATTATATTAAGAAAACAATAGCACAATGCCTTCTCACATAATCCTGTGTATTCTATGAATACAGTTTTTAATTACCAAATAGGTCCTTCCCCTGTGACTTCTAAATTTTATAATGGAAGTATAGGGAACAAATTTTCCATAAAACCCTTTTATCTCCAAGAAAATTGATTAGGTAAACAGACTTGAACAGGTATGTTTATTCTCAGGTGATTCCATTAAGACTAAGATTTTTCCTCCATTGTCTACCCTTATTTTCCTATCATGAGTTTATCATTATGTCAACTCTTTTTGGTGTATAAGTCCTTTCAGGGTGTTAAATTTTCATGCAGTTGTAGTCCATAAAGAATAAAAATAATGGAATACATTATGTTAAACAAAAATAATGATAAATAACTCAAGAAATGGAAAAATAAAATAAAAGGTCATTCCTGTAGTAGTAGTATGTTTGGAATTAAATATTTTAGGTGTCGATGTGGTTTAAAAATACAATTTTATCCAAGTTGATTAAAAATATCTACCAATTCAAATTTGTTTGAAATTGAATGGATTTGATTTTATTTTAGTTCCAATTGTTGGAATTGATTTTTTTTTCCCCATATTAGCTAAGACATTTAACTTATTTTAAGGGAAATAAAGTAAGTTACTAATATAAAGTCAATTTAATTCATCTTTAATATGTTCCAAACATGAAATTTGATTTCTAAATCAATTATAATTCTATTCTTTTTACGATGAGTTGAAAACATGAGAATTGATTTCTAATTCAAATCAATTAAAATCACATCGAATCATTTCAAATTAATAATAGCAATCATATCCTAAAGGAAATATCATTTTACTAGGTCAGCTTAGTCATTATAAACTAAACCAAACATAAACAGAAAATGGGGAAAAAATTAACCACAAACCTGTAATTTGTTGAATAAGCTGCTCTTTCGATGAGCTTGAGCCAGAAACATTTGATGATCCTGGTTCTTCATGCACAACAGTATTCTGTTCAAGATATAAAAGTTCAGTATAAGTTCTTGGCTATCAAAGATGTATATAACAGATAGACTACAAAGGATATAACTTTATAATTTTATCAACTTGGTAAGCATCTATTTTTATCACATTTATACCATAAATGCTAATTAATCAACCTATGGATATGGCAATCAGTCTAAAATCTACATGATTCTATTAATGAAAGATGAAGCCCAGTGGCATCAATAGATCAATGTAGCGTAGCCCCCACACCAAAATGGATAAGACTTGGTGGCAGTGATGGTTGTTGCACCATATCCAAGCAAAAGCAGATTACAACACCAGGATAATTATCCCAGGGAGAAATGGGAATGCTTATGCAACCAGAAATGGGGATGCTAGATTCTTGATTCTAAAAGAAAGACAAAGCAGTAAGAATATATCTTTCTTTCTTTTAGTGAATGCTTTTTCAGTCACAAGGAACATTGATTCTGCTAACTATAGACTTGTCACCTAGGATGCAGTTATCTTTCCTGAAAACCAGAGGGGTCAACTTAGACTCACATCCTTACATTTTGTTTTATTATTATTTTCAAATTCATATCAGCACATGTTGTCTACTTTATCTCATATGTAATACACTTGGAACATATATCTGCTACCATCTATGCTCTTCTTCCCTTGTTCTATAAACAAAGAAATTATAAAGAAAAAAAGGGGGGGGGGGGGGTAATACAAAATCAGGATAAGAAATCCTCAAAAACTACACCGAAAATGAAAGGAAACAAAAGAACAATGGACAAAAAACATATAACACAGGATGTCAATCTCTCTGTATATCTAACAAAGACACTCCCTAAAATGACCATTATAAGAACACCACCAAGAAACTAAGCATACTACTTGATCCCATATGAATATGAGAGGCAACAATCAACAAGTAAAAATTCTAGCATTTCTTTCCAGCCAGATACACTGAACAACCGGAAATTGAGAACAGAGCCAAAGCCTCTAAGAATCTCTATTGGTGCCAAATCCTCCATAATTAACAGACAAGAACTTCTGAAGATCCTTGGGTAAAACCCAATCTTCACCAAAAGCACCAAAAAAACAATTTTCCAGAGAAGGGAAACTGCAGACCAATGCAGAAACAAATGCAAATCATTTTCAGAACCCAATCAGCACATAACACAATAACTAGGAGACCAAGCAGTTAGAGGTCTTCAAATTTGAAATAAATCATTGTTGTTCTTCTACAACAGTTCAAGCAAAAGGTTGACCTTTGAGGGAGTAATTGATTTACAAATTGGCTTACCTAAAGGAGAAGGATCACTGCTGCAAGATGAAGTCAGAAACTGTAAGTAGGATTTTTAGCAAATAAATCCGAGGCATTAAGACCACTGATAAAAAGCTTCTAATATATTCAGCCGGTTGGACTAAAGAAAAAATATGCATGAGGATCACTTTTACAACTTCCTCTTCAAGAGATTTTTCATTCTTTTCTTTTCCTTTGAGAATCTACTTAAATGCCTAAATCAACCAACTCCAATGATAGTTACTGAGTATGAATCTGAGGGCTCTTTGGGCTAAGCCATGAAGACTGAGTTAAGCAGGTAAAAGCAAGAATATGACACTGAAGCCAAATAGATAAAGCAGAAGTATTAGGACAGGAAGCAGACTTGTAAATTGTGCAGGAGTCTTTAATCTTTAATGTAAATAAACTGAAATTTGCAGCAATGCAACAAAAATAAATAAAAGTCCATCATCATGCAATGCTAAATAAAAGAAGCCCTAAACACACATCAAGACCAACACCCTCATAAGTAACTTTGCATAAAAAATTGAGCTTCATAAAAAGCATGTATATAATTATTTATTACTAGTAATAATGGTCATACACTGTCGAGGATGCTTGCATCATCAGAAATTACAGGCTGTTCTCGCTTCGGTTTAGCTTGCTGGTTTAAATTTTCTGAACCCGACAGATTCTCACAATATAAAGGAAGTGGAGTGACAAAGGAACTGTTTCCTGCAATAGGAAAAATATATTGGAAATTTATGTTAAGTTTAAGAATAAATTCACATTTCATAATAGTAGACTCCATAACAAACAGATAAAAACATGTTTACCAACATTTACCTGAGCATAGTCCCAAAAGTCTTCGCCTTCTCAAGCTTACCATTGTTAGTTAGTTCCAATTTTCTCACCAAGTCATCAGAGCACAGTGATTAACGTCCTATTATACCAACTTTTTCCTTCAATTTAACGGTAGAGTAGCTATAACACACACACACAAAACAAAAAAGAACAGTTTCAGGCAGATGAGAAAGCTTAGACCTATAAGGGAAGAATAAAGTTCCAGAATCAGTTCAATATTGTAAAGCCGAATAATGTCATGTCAAATATCCAAATATTTAGTATAAAGTCAACAAGAGAAAAAATTTCAGCCAATATATAAAGGACAAAAAGCATCATAGATATACATGACTATTTATACTACAAAAAGAAATGGTCTCTTCCCAGTTCTAGGACCAGAATACTTAGATAATCAACAGAAGTTATCAGTAAAGAAGGAAAACATTGATTAAACATTCAGAACTAGATCACAAATACAAGATTTGGCAAAAAGTTGGTCCTGCTTTGACTTTTATGCAGCGCGAACAAAGTGATCCTGCACTTCGAGCGTAGACCACCTTAGCCAAACTCATCCATAAACAAACAGACACAAATGTAAAGAAACCTTAATCATGATACAATTTCAACCACTGTCGCCCACGACAAACCTATATAAACAATCATTCAAATCGGCAATCCAAATTGATCATAGCAGAAAATATCATCAACCCCTTCAAAACTGAAAGATGATAAACTATTTTTAAAAAAGAAAACAACTATTTAAAAAAAAAAATAAAGATGATAACATGGTTTGCATAAGGAAATCCCTCAGAATATCAAATGGAATCAAATTTTGGAAACAAAAATCACGCACATAAGCCAAGTCTTTCTCCTTGGGTTGAAGTCAACCCCATCAACCTACCACCTTTCTTGGAAGGGGGTGGTAACAAAGGAGACAGACCCATTTGACCACACACAACACAAACCAAATACGCACATTTAGAGAAAATTCAAGACACCCACAAAAGCCAACAAGAGAAAGACCAAGTCTTTGGCCTCTAAAGTAGTCAACTCAAAATGCCCCTGACCAGAAAACTCATCACACACAAAAGATGAAAGAGTGAATGACCCTTCACAAATACATGAACAAAAGGGACAAAAAAAAGCCACAAAGAAAGAGGAAGAACAAGCCATTGTTGTTGGCAACGGTACCTGAAAAATGAAAAGGGAGAGATAAGGTGGCAACACAGGAGAGAGAAGAGAAGTGGGGTGGTGAGAAATCTGAGGCAAAAGGCAAGAGAAGGGGAATTATGGGAATTTTGGGGAATACAAGGTGGTGAGTGTGGTATGAGATAATGTGTGTGTTGTGTTGTGTTGTGGCTCATGCATCTACCACCTTTTGTTTTTGTTTTTGTTTTTATTTTTCTCCCTCTCTCCCCTTGTGTTGTGATGTGTGTGTCTTGTGTGCATAAAAGTGAAGGGTGGTGGAAGGGGTGGTATGGTATGATGGTTGTAGAGAGAGAAAGTCTTGTAGAGAGAGAAATAGAGAGTTGAAAAAGAGAATGGGAACGTAACTACTAGCTGCTGAGTACTTTATTAGAGTTGAATGTCAATGCTGCCCTTTAAAGACCCAACAAATGCCACATAGGTTAGTTACATTAGAGACATTGTTGCTTTACCATATTGCCCTGACACCTATTTCTATTATTGTACAATAATTCACTGTGTTTGTACTGTGGTGGGTGTTTGGTGCTTCCACACTTTACTCCACGGAGGAATACTTGTCAATGAAGTTAAAAGAAATCGAACTGCAGATTAAAATTTAAATATGAAAATCAAATTTGTCTATAATTTATAAGATTCGAACCTTTTAAACTTACGTTACGTGCATTGCGTAAAATTTTCATCATAAAAGCTTTAGAATATCAACTATTTAAATTTATGAAAAATAGATAATTTAGTCCACGAATATTTGTTTGAAAACTTTTATTTATAAAAAGAATAATTTTATCAATAAGTCAACAATTTTAGACAATACCATCTTATTAATTAGAGTGGGTCAAGTAAAGTTAGTTTTTACGTTAAGCATATTTGACCTGTTTTCTAAACCTAATATTTGCTTTATATGAATCCTTTTTTAGGTTTAGTTTGATCATTTTAAAATCATAATCAAACAAATAATTTAAAAAAATATTTTATAGTGATATTTTTAGAATAATTCAGTAAACATTTTTAAATAGGTTAATAAGCTTAAAGTTTTATATATGTTAACATATTTAAATTTTAAAATAAGTCAATAAATATAAAAAAATTTAAATTATTATAAAATAATTAAATATAATTAATAATATTAAATATTTTTATATTTTTAATTTAGATAAAGAAACTAAAACAATATTATTATACTATTTATATTAAATTAATATAACTATATTACATATTTAGAAGGAAGGAGAGATTAGTTGTCCAGAGTAGTCTTACTCGGTTGAGACTCAATTATGATGTTTAATTCTTTTTTGATTGACTTAAAATGTAAATATTTTAGTTATATTAGTTTTTAAAAAAAATATTTAAAAAAATATTAGACTTAACATGAATAAAATCATAAATCCTCAAATAATTTTAATGTATTTTAATCTTGGTTAAATTGTTTTTTCCTTTTTCACATAACTTATGTGTTTGTTCTATTTTAGTTCTCTAATTTTTAATTGCACAATTCTAGTCTTCTTATATTCTTAATTAAAGAATTTCCTCCTTTTGTTAAGTTGACATCTAATATTTAACAATAAATGTATGATCTTCTTCTTTTTTCCTTGATTGGAATCCATTATTGTCAATGGTGTTCCTCCTCTCTTCCAACTTAGACTGGATCATTGGCAATAGAGCTCTTCTTCTCCCTTTTCTCTTAGTCAAACTTTATTTTATTTCATACCAAGTAGCTAGTCATACACACACCACCCCTTCCAATGCCTAAATCCTTCACCAGTCAAAATACTTAATAGTTCACACCTTCAATTTTCCTTCCCAACAAGTAAGTCTTCCTAATGACATCAAGAACTTATCTGCCATCAATGACCTCCATACATTCTATCTATGTCACTGCATTGCCCCATGAGCCCATGGAAAAGCTCATGAAGCAAGACCTACTCGATTACATTATTGCAGTTTTCTCTATCCTTAGGTTAATAATCACTTGGTCCAACTTCTTTTATTTGCAGAATCACTAAGGAGAAATCAGAAAGGGTTACAAAGATAAACTTGAAGTTAATTCTACTTGCGTTAGAATTGTGCTATTTGCTTGTTAACTTCCTTTCCGTTTCAGATTTCATGTTGAAGAAATGGGCAGAGGAGAATAATAGTAGAAATAGAGAAAGTGAGAAAGAGGAGAGAAGGATGATTGGTAGCAACCACAATTTCTGATTAAAAGGAGAGCAAGAAGAGTTACCATTAAAAGTTGGACAAAAATTCAACGAAAAGATGAAATTTGTTTAATTAAAAAATATAGAAAAAATAAAATCACACAATTAAAAATTAGGGACTAAAATAGACAAACATAAAAGTTGAGGAACAAAAAGACAATTTAGTCTTTTATCTTTATTTGTAAGTTAATATATAAATTTTAATTAAAACAACAAAATAATATTGTTTGATAATAAAAGAATAAGATATATTTGATTTAATTTATTTAAAAATATATTTATTTATTTTTGTTAATTTCTTTAAAAAATGAATAAAAATAATTATTTACTAATCATGCACTAAATATATTCATTTAAATGAATAGTTTTGAGGGAATGCTTTTGGTGCATCAAAGCGACTGATCCTTTGGGTCAGAATAAGAAAAATTTTTACTAAGGATTTCATTCATATTTTTATTAAAAAATATTTAGAATTTTTTTTGAAAATAGATAACATAAATATTTAATTTTATCTTATTCAATCTTATTAAGATTTTTTTTTTATTTTATCATTATCAAATCAATTACCTTATTTTATTATTATCTCTTAGAATAGTTATTGTATTTTTTTATCTTACAATAATACTTTTTAATTAGATAAGATTTTGATTCGTATATATAAGAATTGATACTCTAGGTTTTATGTACATATCAATGCATTGCAATATACCTTAGTAAATAACAATTCTATGGTATCTTTCTTCCTCTATTTATACTTAAATACCTTTTCTTTATATATTATGTAAAATCAATAATATATTATATTTATTAAGAAGCAACACCATAGTTTGAGATTACTCCATCACAATTAATCTTTGATCGAACCAACGGGAAGACACATCCACTTCTGCTCAGATATTAATTCTGAATTTGAGATTCGATACTGAGACTCCAATTCACTTGATAAGGAATTAACAAAGGACAAGGAGGAAACTCTATTCTTGATTTGCCACTACTAGTTGGTCAATTGGAATGTTGGCATTTAGGAAGAGAAATTGGTTTCTTCTATGCTACAGAGAGTCAAAAGCTACTACAAAATCGATTTTCCAGCCTTCCTAAGCAGGATCTGATTTTAAGAAATTACACAGTAACCAATTATGGAGGTCAGCAGAAAAGAAAAGCGCATCAACTTTTGAACCCAGCAACTAAGTCCAAACTGATTTTGCAAACGAACAGTCTCTCAATATGTGTATAGTATTTTCTGTGCCTATCACGCAAATACTACAAGTTGAGATGTTGCTTAAACCAAGCTTCACCCTGAGATCATTTGTGAGCAAGCTATTATGGACTATCCGCCAGAGAAGAGTGCGAATACGTTCAAGGCCTTTCCAACACCATATACCTTAAACACTTGCTGAGGAGGTGGATATTGCATGAACCCAATCACCTCATAAGTAGACTTTAAAGAGAAATGGTCATCATTTGATAGATTCCAAATCACTCAGTCCTTTCCAGCTTGAATATGAGGAGGAGTTACCTTTAAAACACACCTAAGTACTTAACTGGGGAGGCAACTCTATAAATGATCCAGCTCACATTTTCCTTGCGCATTCACATAGTCTCCCACTTTCTTTGGTAATTCTTCGCCTGGAACAAAAGACATTGCTGACTGGATCAGTGGTTCTGACCCTGGCATCCATCTATCAAACTAGAAGTTCACATTAGCTTCATCACCAACTATCTATCTTGTAACATCCTTATTTTTATATTTATTATTTTAGTATTATATATTGATTATATGTGAAGTTATTTGAATTATAGAGAGTTTAAATGATATAAGCTGCAGGATATCTCGCTGTGGCGAGAAAGAGCGTTCAGAATCAAGCTCTCTCGTTGTAGGGAAAAGCTCTTACTATAACTAGAATGACATATAACAAAGAGAAATTTTGTCTGATTTTTTTGCTACAGCAAGGAAAGGGCTCAATGTAGCAAGAGATAGATAGTTGTAGCAAGAATATCACGAGTGAAAGGGTATTTAAGTATTTTCAATTTAGAAAACTTGAATTACAATCCAATTTTTGACCTCTTCCCTGTTCTCTGTGCTTTTTAACCTTCTCTTCTCAGAAATCTCTACTAAACTTTGATTTTCTTCTGAATTTGAGCTTAGAAATTCACTCAATCAACTCCAAGTAAGTTCATGGAGCGTAGTTCTCTCATTTTTGTTTATTTTCTATGTTTCTCCCTTCTCAAAATGCTCTCTTTTGTGACATGTAGAAAAAGTTAAGACCTTTCACAAAAAAACTCTCATAAACCTTCTTTCAAAACTTCATTTTAAGGTAAGGAAAGTTTTATTTGCCATTTTAAGCATAATAAATATTTTGTACCCATGAGAGGACTTTGTGTATGTGTTCTTGTATGATTTTTATGATTGAATGACATTGGATTATTGTGAAAGTATATTTGGTTGATTTTTGGTGTTAATGATATATTTTGATAGTATAAGTGTTAGGAATTTAGCCTGAAAGTGTTTTACTAAGCACGATCTTTTACTTGAGTGGTGAATTTGGTACAAAAAGGAGTATGGGATAAGTGTTAAAAGCTGAATGGATCTAATGTGAATAGTTACAAAGATACACTAGAGGTATAGAGTCTAAAGACGAGAAATTTGGAGGAAACATAGGGTGATGAGCGACATTCACGCATATGTACACACTTTTTCTAAGAGCGAATGCGTCACATGGCCTCACACTCGTTTCCTGACTAGACTCTTGTCTATACCTTTGCTAAGGAACCCATTATTGTTTATGTTGTATCAGTATGCATGGGCTAACTGACGATTATTTACATAGTTGTGTAAGACCTCAAGAACTACTAGAGGCATTATATATTTGTGATTACAATGCATTGTGATCACAAATATGAAAAAAGAGGAATATAATAACTTGTGATGGAATATATGCATATGTGATACCTTGATTTAAGATTGATATTATTATGTTCCCTTATGTTTCATGATTATGATTGTGCTGCGATGTTAGTCTTTAAAATAATATTATGTTTAAATGATAAGATAAATGCTCATCTTTACTAAATATTTTAGGAAACCAAGATGACAATGCCTCAGGAAAGAATTAGGCTAATAGATAG